CTGATCTCGAAGTGACGACTATAAAACGCATTTTTCATTATGACAGTCACTTGAGTGTTCAGTGTCACTTGAGAGGCGTCTATAAATACGGCCATCAATCAGATACCACAGATCATTCATCATACAGAAGACCATGTCTTCAGAACACTCATCTCTCTCTCATGATACAACTCAGTCCACATTGTCACTGGGAGGGGAGTATTGTGGTGGATCATATGCAGCTTCATTCACCGACTCACAGGTGGCAGCACCTAAGCACCATTTCAAATGCCAGCATATATCTCACCCAATAACATCTATGCCGACTCGGTTCAAATAGCACTTGCAACCTATACACATTGTATCCGGCGTATAAGGCAGGGCCTACCTAAGCCTTACTGACGAGTCCAATAGGTAGGCCCGGGACGAAACGCATGGTGTTTCAGTGCGAGTGGCGTATGTTTAAGGCATGCCCTGGGCACTCTCACTTAAAAACCTAACCGAGAACGACTGATTTCATAGTCGCCAGAGGCGCTACAGACGAGAAAGAGGTACAGATTAATTGTCAGTGTCAGCTTATTATACAGTTATACAGATTAATTGTCATCTCGCTTTTTGCGCTTTGCACTGTTGCCGAACTGTCATCGAATAGTTCCGTATAAATACGGTGAAAACGAAATTTACATTTGCTAAGCCTTGAAACTTAAAGTTTTCCAGATACTATCAATGATTTTCTTGATTTAATAATTAGTAGAGATAAATAGTAAGATATCTAAAATAATCGACTCAAAAGTTCCGTTTTTCTTAAACCATGTTAAACAAAATTCTGCCAAACGGACTAACGTTTCCAGATACTAGATTCTCATTCGTGATTTATTTTATAATATCGGGTCAATAGTATGTAATTGTAATAATGACAATAAAATAATTTCGGGTATGGCGACGTATTCCAAAAATTGTAACAAATTGAAGCATTCGGCAATCCCGCATCCCATTCAAAGTGAAATTAAGACAAAAAGAAACAGAATACTTTTGGACGTATTTGTACTTGATCTCTTCGGCACAGAGTTTCTTTTTAACTGTAACCAATCAACTAACTCAATCAATTAACTACACAAATGTAAATCGGCAAAAACAAATATAAAAGCGAGCCATTCACGGAAAGTAGTATTTCCAGAATTATATATTTGAGTTGTACATGTGCACATATTGAGCAGCCGGCGCTGACCATTTACGGTTTTCAATATTTTATGCTGTCTTTTATTTTGGCCGCATTGAATATGAAGAAGCAATTTTATTTAAAAAAACAAATTTTTGTGCGCACTGAAATTTGACCTGATAAAGACTAAACATGATTGCAAACTTATCTGTCGTTCATCTCTTGAGCGCCCTTTAAAATATTGTACCCAACGCGACCATATTCGTTTTGATATATGGTCAAAGGTGTGAGCAGTTTTGTGGGTCTCATATATCCAAACACTAAAAAACATTAAAATATTCCCTGCTATTTACGCGTTTACCTAATGGTAAGTACCATTTCTAGCAGAATTCAGAGGAGGGATGATCTTTTGACTTCTGCTGCCGTAGAGTTTTTTGCAATATTCCAACAGTTCGTTTTCCAGCTCATCATCAAGAAAACTATCTTTGCTGCGCACTTCGATGGCTCTTTGCGCATTTCCGCCTTTAACTTGACTCTCTGAACTCCCTGTGTATCAAAATTTAACCAGATGCTTTATACGCCTCTGTTTCAATGCAAATCTCTAACTTCTTGTTGTCTGTTTCACCAGCTTATCACAGTAGGAAATTTGGTAGGTAGACCTTAGGCGTCTCAGATAGAGCTTGTTAATGGCTGTCTCAATTTTAGTTAGATTTTTTAGCTGAAGAATGTCGTAAAATGAATCTCGCCCCAGCATTATTTGCAAGCTTTACCTCTTCCTCCGCTTCTCCATTCAAGTCCAACAGCCATAAATCCCCTTCAGGTTCCAATTTTGTTAATTTGGAAGCATCGTATCTACATTGTCCAAGTCAAGACTACAGATACTAATAAAGCTGAAGATTGATTATATACCTACAGTGCGACTCTCGGCTGGCAGTTCCATCTGTAATGGTTCTTGTATGTCGAAACAAAGGCCTGTGCCATTTTTCCAAAGCAAAAAACTGGTTTAAGTACTGGAATTTAAAATTCTGGATCTGTTTTGCACTTGGGTTAGTCACGTCATTGTCAATGTCAACTTTTGCAAATTGCCATATCCAGGAAAAATTGACGATGACTTCGGAAGAGCGGCAAACATTGAGCCACTATTTGACGATATACAACAAGGACTATGTGAAAAGGAAAATCAACAGGTTTCAACACTGCTTTGCGTGAACTTGCATAAGGCAAAATTCGAACTATTTCATAGGATTAAGAAGGGTGGCACAAGTCAAGAGTTCAAAGACCCGGTCTGTGAAGGCTTTAGAAATTTTCTAGAGTTAGACAAAGACGATTCAATTCAGCCTCCAAATGAAGCAGGGGAAGATTATCTCGAGAAGGTGATTGCAATGTACTTCAATCAGCTGAAAAATTAACTTCTGTTCACTACCCCATAGATGAAGCAAGAAAAACCAAAGATTGCTCAGATGTTTTTTCAAAACCCTTTGGATCGACTGACAATTAAAGGAGATCAGATTCTGAATGGCAAAAGC